TATTGAAAAGGGAATGTGACCAGAAGCCTTTCTTCATCCTAGTCACTCACTTAACTATGTCAGTCCATCCTCCATGCTTAGGGCATTACTAGGTCCTACCATCACATTTTAGGTATTACTTCTTCAGAGAAACCCTTTGTTCCTATAAAAGCACTCATTCAGCATTTCTCAAGGCTTTATGAAAGAGAGGGAAAACAGTCAGTTGTCTAAAGTACAAAGATAAACTTTGCAAGAGGTTAAAGGAGACAGTCCTTGAAAGCAAGAGGAAAATTTTCAGAACTTGAGGCAACATCACAATTCATTTCATCATGGGTCTGGCAATTCTCAAGGTGAATCAGGATAATCATATTACACTGCAGAATCCAGTCTGATGTGACTAAAGCCTGTCTGTCCCTCAGCAAACTACTCCCTTCGAGAGAGAAAATTAAAACAAAAGAATGCACAAAGACCTCAGTATCAGCTATGCTGCTGTGCAGACCTGGACACCGTCCTGCGGGTCAAGGAGCACAGCACAGGGCAGGAGAGGCAGCTGTGGACCACAGTAAGAGAGGCATGCACTTGCTCAAGGCATAAATGAGCAAGAACACACTTGAACCTCTCCAGAAGACAGCTTTTTCTTCCTGGTTTGCCATCTACTACTGTACTGGTTTAGGGCAAATTTGGGAGGCAACTTCCAAAGGGATCTCTCTAGAAAGTGGATTCAAGCAGCTCTGCCCCAGCTGGTCGAGAAAATATTTCCTTTGAGAAAAGTTTTATTTATTTAACAAGCAAAGCATTCACAAGAATAAAAAATTAACAATATTAAACAATGGAACCTCTCGTTGTTCTGAAGAGATGGCAAATTCAGAAAGTCCTTGTCGTGGGGTGTCTCTTAGTCTATCAGTCCCTTCTGCACTGGGAAGTGCCACGTTCTGGGCCCTGGTGGGCCACAGGTGTGAGCTCCCCATGTTTTTCTGGGCTTTCAGTCCAGAGCAAGGCAGATCAGTTCCAAGAAAAAGAAAAGCCACAGTTCAGGGAACTTCTCTGCCTCAGCTAGCTTAAAAAAAACTAACGAAAAAACAAAGGAGAGGTCTGTCCCACTGTCTGTCTATGCTGCAGAGAACACAGTCCAGAGCAGGAATACAGAGGAGGGAGTGCAGTTTCTGCAAACAAACTGTGCGCTTCTTTTCTTCCTGCTTCACTCTCAGAACCAGTCTTAAATAAGCAGAACTTAATATCCAGCATAAACAGAACAGATGATTGAGGACACAAACATCATAAAGTCACCCTGGGACAACTACCTATGGCACACAGGTAGGGCCTGAGAAATGGGTTTCCTCAGAACAGAAGTGCAAAAGCTAACTTGAGGAGGTGTGAGCTACTCATATCCACTGACAGGTTTGAGCTATCTACAGGGACAGGTAGCTGTGAGCACCTAAAGACAAGAATGAGCCAGGCTGCACTCCAAGGGAAACAGAGCAGAAGAAACAAGGTTGCATCAAGTTAAGTTACGTATTAAAAAAGAAATTTCCACAATTTCTTGAGGAATTTCTTGGAGAGGCTGAGGAAATACATCAGCGACCCAGCCCAACCCAACAAGGTCCTGAGCCAATCAAACACCAACAATCCAACACCAGAAATGGTCAGTCTTTGAGTGTGAGAATAACCAAGTCACTTGTGCAGCCTCTGACAGTCATGGATACACAGCTAAAAGTTCCCTACTAACAATCACCTGGCCATGCTAATACAGTGCCACAGATAAGAGAGCAGATAGACTCAAGCCCAAAGGGCAACTCAGCAATTTGCTGATGTCACTGCAAAGACTAGGCCCCAAGTCCTTTAATTCCCAGTCACTTCTACAAAAAAACTTTTACTGAGCAAGATAAAGGGAGGACTATTTCATACCTTACTGCACTAAGCATAATATAAGTATCTCCACTAACAAATGTTTCAAAAGCTTTTTTTTTTCCAAGCATCCTTAATCCTCTGTCAAAAGCCCAAATTTTTATTTTTTTACGCAATACACAGTGTGATTACTATAAATGATCAAATTTCCATCACTCCATAATGATCTGGTTTAATATTAAGTAAGATCAATGTCATCGCAAACTCGAGGAAGAGATTCAGACCACTACAGGAAATGCACCCATGTACATTGTATTTGATCAAGTCTCTTTCACTTCTTTTTTTCCCAAAGTTTCATAAGTAAAATATTTCTAGTTTTACAGAGTGCCAGGCACCAAATCTGCTCCCATCCTCTTTATCAGGAAAAACCTGACCTTCTGAAATGAGAGACCACATGTGCTTTTGTTGTCCATTCAAGTAGGAAAAAAATGTCACTGGACAGGGGTATCCAGAGCAAAGTTAGAGAAAGACAGTCAACAGTAACAGAAGGTATAATGAGCAGATTGTCACTAGCTCAGCAGTTGAGTAGCATCACTTCTCAGTTTTCCTACTCTACAAAACTAAATTCTTTGCTAATATAGTCCTCCTGTCCTACCTATGATGAGGCCATGGCAAGCAGCTGACAAACGATCAACACACAGTTTTGCTTAACAGCACATATTCCCAGCAGCTTCATCATAGCCTTTTCCTGCATAACACACATGCTGTAGGAAATCAAATCCATTGAGTTATTTAACAAGTCCTATAGCACAGTGATGGGTCATCCAACTATCACTGAAATGCTTCAGAATCCTTCAGCCTGAAACAAAGATCACATAGTTCCAGACTGCTTAGGATTTCTGACACAGGGCACACAGTTGTGCAGGACTGTTCACCACCTCCCCCAGAAGAGGAATTGGACAATAAAGTAAGCAAATCCCATATACTGAAGGCCCTAAAGAACTGATTCTTCACACAAACATCAATTAGGCTGCAAAACTACTTTCTCCTGGGCACTCTTGATAAAACACACCCAAAGCCATTAAATGCAGACTGAATCACAATTCATAGAAACTGCAATGAGCACTGCATGCAGACACTAACAGGCATTTCCCTGTGCTTACAGCTTCCCCTCCCTGGCACTCTCTACCATCCACAGGATGTGCTGCTTCTTTGAATTTAGAATAAATCATCCAGTTTATCACAGACTGCCAAAAAAGTTTTCCTTTATTCTTTTAAATTAATTAACAGGATACATGTTTCCACAGTAATTTTAAGGCAAGTGACCAGCTGGAGGCTCAGAAGCCAGAAAGTCTCAAGATAGAACCACCTGAAGCTCTGTGCTCCAGATATACAAACCTGAGAAATACACAGAAGTTTTGCAAACTCACTGCACTCAGTACAGTCATACTAGCCTCAGAAATACAAACACACTATCCACAATATAACTGGCAGGCACATTCAGGAAGCCCAAATGTTTCAATGACTACTTTTATTAAGAGACAGATCTGCCTGTTTGTTAATTCCTACACTCTGGCTCCCCACTGAGAAAATCAGGTGTTTTACAGCACTGCTTGCATGGCCAGAAGCTTGTCAGGAACCACTGTATAAAACTCTCAGTTGTTCTGTCATTAAGAGATTAGTTTGAGAAAATGCTCTGCAAGTCAGACTAATAGTTTACTCAATCCTTAATCCTATTTTACAAGATCTAGATTTACCACTATTCAATACCAGAACCTAAGAGGACATTTGGTAATGTTAAGCCATATAGAACATAGGAACAGAAAAAAAAAAAAAATAATTATATTCCCTTTATCCCTCACATACATTTTTCCAGACTTCTGGGACACAGGGCATTGGTCAGTACAACAATTACTTTGATTGCCAGAGGACCACTAGTGAAACACAACATAAATGTGCAACATCAAAGCTCCTAATGGCTGTGTTCAATCGGCGGGTGAGGTCTCAGCAGCTTTTCCAGCCCAGCAGCCTGGCTCTGCAGGATGCAGGCCTCCTCTTGCCCAGGCTGCTACTAGCAGGCTCCCACCCAGGCCCTGGACAGAGGGCTGGTGTCAGTTCCCAGCGAGAGGCACAAAAAAAGGGATGCTCAGACCGGCAACCTGGCACCAACCTAATGCACACTCTGCTACTTCGTGCGTTGCAGGTCTGCCAAACAGCTGAGCTGGCGGTTCAGGGACACCTCAAAACAAGCGCCTGCAGGAAAATTCTCCAGAAAGACGAGATTCAAGAGCAGTTTATTGACAGATTATTGCAGCTAAACACATTTGTTAGCGACACTAGCTCAGTGCATCACCCTCACGTGCCGACTGCATCCATCTCTGAGATCCCCAGCACAGGAAGGGCACTGACCTTTTGGAACGAGTCCAGAGGAGGCCACCAAGCTGATGAAGCATTTCTCCTATGAGGAAAGGCTGAGAGAACTGGGATTGTGCCGCCAGTGAAAGAGAAGGCTTAGGGGTGACCTAATTGCAGGCTTACAGTACCTGAAGGGAACTTACAGGAAAGATGGGGCTAGACTATTTACATGTAGTGACGGCTCAAGGGGAAACAGGTTCATGCTAGAAGTAGGTTTAGATCAGATACTGGGAAAAAAATCTTTATTGGAAGGGCGGTGAGGCACTGGAACAGGGTAGCCAGTGAAGTTGTGGTTGTCCCATCCCTAAGCGCGTTCAAAGCCAGGCTGGATGCAGCTCTAAGCAACCCGAACAAGTGGAGGGTGTCCCTGCCCACGGCAGGACGGCTGGAACCAGATAATCTTTAAAGTCCCTTCCAACCCCAACCCTTCTGTGACTCCGTGATTCTCGCAAGCTGTCCCCGGCTGTGCCCCAGCGGCCCCGCTGGCCCGGCCGCCCCCGCAGGGCCCGCGGGCGCAGCGCTGCCGCCCGAGGCGCCGCAGAGCCCGGGGGGTGCCGGGTCCGGACGGGACGGCCCGGCCCCACCAGGCCGGCGGGGAGGTCCGCGGGCGAGGCCTCCCTGCAGCGCCCCGGCCCGGGAGGCCTCGCCGAGCCCCGGCCGCGGCTCCGCCCGCGGCGGCGCCTCCGCCGGAAGGGAAGCGGAGCCGCCCCGGCCGAGGGGAGGGGAGAGCGGCGCGGGGGAGGGGACACCGCCCGCCCGGGCGCCCCCAGAGGCGGGCGGGCGGCCGCTGCGCGCTCCCCTCCCCGCGGCGGTACCTGCGCTGGAAGTCGGTCCGGAAGGGCGCCAGGTAAGGGTCCCGCTCCAGCAGCTGCTGCAGCCTCGGCGGCTCCGTGCTGGCGGCGGCCATGTCGCCGCCGCGGGCTCCGCGCGATCCGCGCCGCCGCTAAATACAGCCGGGGAGGGGGCCGGGCGGGCGGCCGGGCACCCCTGCCTCTCCCCGCCCACCGCCCGGGGCGCCGCCGGGGCCGCCTCCGCCGCCCCTCCCCGCCGGCGGTGCGGCGGGGCTGGGGCTCCGCGGTGGCGGGAGGGGTGCCCGGGGTGCCCGGCCCGGCCTCCCCGCGGCGATGAGCTCGGTGCGGCAGCCCCGGCTCACTGCGGAGCGGGAAGCGGCCGCGGGCGCTGAGAGAGAAGCGCCGATCTCCGAACGACGTGGGGTGACAGCAGAGGAAATAAAAAAACTCGCGACAAAAAAAAGAAGGCCTCTGCGGGAGCCGACCCGCCCGGCCTGAGGGGGATGTCTGCCTGCCGTGGCTCGGCGGTCCCTCAGTTTGTTTTCTTAGTGGCTCTTTGATGTCTTTTTCAGTGTGTCAGCTGCCGGGTGAACTCTGTGTTCCCACACACATAAAGCCCACCGCACTCCCCAGCCAACATCAACACCCCCCAAAGCAGATTTGGCATCATCGTGAGTGCTGGAATAAATTTCTCGACTGGTAGGGTGCTGGCCTGCTCACAGACAGCTCAGCAAAACAAGACTCTGGGGACATCCGTGAATTCTCATAAACACCGTTTATGTACAGCAAAATGTTGCTTTATCAGACACACATTCCAAACGCGGTAAGATTAGTTCAGCTGATCCTAGTGCAGCTTGAAATGCTGACTACCACAGGTAGATTGCTGTGGAAGTTTTTGACCTAATATCAACATGTCTCGTTTTTGGATAGGCCACCAAATATCCAAGGCAACTAATCACCAGCCTGACCATGCCTCTAGGCCAGCACTGAGCACTTTTATTTAAGGTCCAGCAATTTTGCTTTGTTTTGATATGTGGTGAGAAAGTTTATTTAGAGGCCTCTTTTGAATGCTTTTCAGCCACAGTTTATAAACTTTTCAGCTCCTAGGTACCTTAACTCTTTCCCACAACCATCTCCAAAATTGTTCTCAGTTTGAGACTCATCCCCCCCTATCTCGGCTTCCTCTGAATGTAAGTGCTGTTTCTCTTTCCTGTCTGCCCGAAGACTAACAGCACGGTGTGTGATGAACACTAACACTTCATTTATTACTTCTCCCAAAACTGGCTACAGTGAAATTGTTTGTTTCATCAACAGTGCATGTACACTTAACTACACTGTATTTCCTTCCTGTAGCAGTTTCTAACTACACAGGCAAAAGTCCAAGTACCTTTGTTCTTTTTCTCCTTATGGGGTGCAACAAATATTCTGTCCTCAAACTATAGGGCAACAGTCACACTGTTTGCAAGACCAGTTACCCTAACAGGATGCCCAAGGAGTTTTGGTTTGGTTATTGAAAGAAGCAGCATCTATGCTGTAGCAGAACTACTTGTCATATCCTGCTGTGATAGATCAAGATTTCTTTCTTTCACAGTGGCCACAATTTCTTCAGTCACTGGAGACTGAAAATTTATTTTAAAATTACCTGGGCTTCTCAAAACTTTCTGTGTGGCAGTGCTTTCAGTGCCTGCGCCAAATCAATGTTGAACAATTCCTACCATCTTCTTTTTGCTTCTTTCCTCATACTGTGTGCATCGTATCATGTTCTTCTGCAAATGGGTCACCCTCACTCTCACACTTAACTAGCTTGGTCAACTAAAAGGAGAAGAGAATTTCCAGCTTATTATCAAGAGCCAGGAAATTGGGGTTTTTTTGCAATAGTTGCAAGTTACATGTGCTGCTGCTTTGGGGATTCCAGGTGTTCGGTACTGGAGAGGGCACCTGCTTTTTGAAATGGAGGCGGGAGAGCAATTCCTGCAGCCTCTGAATGCATGTCCATTGGAAACAGGAGCTTCAGTTTTAGCAGTTTCTTTGGTTTTTTTTCATTGTCAGGAAGCCCAAGCAAGTTCACAGCATTATTATTAGCTTTTCAGCATAAACACAAGAAAGACCTCTATAAATGAGCATTAGCAATTTGTGTAGTAATGTAGCTGTGACTTGCACCTCCCTGGAGAGGTTTGTAACATTCATTTTAAATAGAAATGACACAGCATCCAGCCTCATATACAAGCAACCTTGAACTTCAGGAAGTTAAATTCTGCAGATAGCTGCTGTCCTTATAACAGACAAAGCCCCAGTGATATATTTAACACTCTGTGAACCAGGATATGAATAAGCATACTGTTTGTATCTACTGCTTTCATTTTACAACTTGGGCATGATTTTATATACCTGCTTTGTCACAAGTAATTCCAAGATACTTAAGCACATGTTATTTTAATCATTGATTACACCATGATCCTGGTGTTCCTACCACGAGCCGAGGTCAGCTCTCAGGACACTGCCATTTAATTCTCTACCTGGAGGCAAAACCGGCAGTTCAGACAATGAATATTGTCCCAACAGCTGAATGTGTCTTTGTGCATTTGTCAGGGATGGAAACAAAGCTGCCAGCTGCTGCCAGTAGAAACAGAAAGAGTAGGACTGTTGGGAATAACTGCTCTTTTATGGGGACAGCAGTGGATCATATAAGAGTGGTGTCTAAGGCATGTGTCTGGCACCCAGTTACCAGTGAGGCTGGAGTATATAAATTATTCCAAAGTAGTTTTTCAAAGGATGTTCATGCTTAAGTTATGTATACTTTAAAATTTTGCAGAGTAGTGCTGAGCAGTAAATGTATAGTTAAATTTATAAATTCTGTTTAGATTTTTTCTAATATGCAAAATTCAAACAAATCTAAATTTTGAAGAGAAAAAAGGCTACTCCTGTCATGGAGCACCTCCATTTTGATTCACTAATATATTGCACTTACTTTGCAAACAATGACAGAGATGATAAACTGTAGGAACAAAGTTATGAAACAACCTTTTTCTTCATTAAGGCACTGGTTGAGATTCTCCCTCATCAATAGTTTTTTTTTCATATTTCAGCCAGAATGGATCTGTGAGGTCTCTGGCCTTGACTGGCTCTTACAGAGCAAATTCCTGAGCTCCAGGTTCTTCTAAACCAAGTGGCTTAGAGCAGGCCTGTCTGAGTTGTCTTTGGGGTGCAGGCTTCTGCTCTGCAGCTAATACAGAGACTGCCCAATCCCACAGTTTAACCTGTCTGAGAAGAGAGAGCAGGTACCAAAGGCAGCAGGATATTTTTTTAACTCTGTGCTGGTAACATTTAAGAGTTGCTGATCTCTCAAAGTCACAAGTCACAAGGCACATCCTTTATATGGTTCAGTTCAATACTTGAAGACTTGCTATCATTTTAGTCTGGGCAAAACTTCTCCCAACTCCTTTTCCTGAAGTCTTTTTACAGCTAGGTATGGTATTGTCCCACTGTGCTTGCTTGCATGTAGGGAGATGTATTTTTATTGCCATTGCACCTGCCCATGACTTAAAGATGAGAGGCGGCCCATGAGCAAGAGCTGACAACCTGTGACTTGTGCCTATACTGGATCTCATAATGCAAACTATCAAGAAAAGCTGTTGCTGTAGACAGACAGCTGTTCAAAAGTATTTGCACTTCAGTATTCCAGAAAAATGGATTCTTGAAGGGTCCCCTATCCTTTATTGATATTTCAGACATCTGAGCATGTTAAGGCACCCATTGCAACTTCGCACTTTTGGACTGTTCTTTTCACATTCAGTACCTAATCCAAAGTAGAGTTGAAAGTTTGAAGGAAAATTAGCTTATTTGGCTGGCCAAACTTCCCCATGTTACTTGTTCAAGGATCCATAGGAAATTAGCTGCACAGTTGTCATCCACACACAAAGCAAATGCCCCCTTTTAAAAATCATTATCTGGTAATTAATTAATTAATAATTAATTAAATAATAATTTATCTTGGTAGTTTTCCCAGAGAGGAGAGAGGTTAGACACTGGGCATGGAGCTGTAGCTCATTGCAGGGTGATTGTAGTAAGTGACCTTTAAAGGTCTCTTTCAACACAAGCTATTCTGTGATCCCATGACACTTATCCCTATCTTTGGATTTGCCAAGGTGAGACACATAGGAGAAAGGAAATGGCCAGTGTTGCACAGTTGCTGCCAAACATCACGTCACTGTTCCATAATTAAAACTGTAGTACAGCAAGGATTCAAGTGTTAGATTGCATATGAAGAACAAAGCATGTATCCTTCAAAATTGCAGCAAACATTCCAAGTATCTGTTGCTATATATCTTTTAGTTTAGAGCTTTTTTTTAAGTTTGGGGTTTATAAGAAATGTACAGTATTGATACTATATTTTATGGTATCACCTTTGCCCTGATATGGGAGCAACAACACATCTTCAAAGATCAAACCAAATACACCATCTGAAACACTAAAAATCCAGTTTCAGAGTTGTAAGATTCCAGTAAGCACTATTGATGGGAAAGCCATTTTCACTTACCATTCAGAGCAAAGTAAAAACACATTCCAACAAACTGAAAGTCCTAAATAATGACTGCTTTCACAATATTGCAGTGTGATTATGCTTTGGTGTCCTTACCTTCTATAACAGAACATAAAAAGATGTAAATACCTTTCAAAGTTATTTATGCATTAATCAAGACACTTCAAAGTGCGATACCAATTTTAAAACATCCACGGATGTAGAACAATATTTGTTGTGAAAATGTCTATGAGTCTTACTAAAAAATCAAGTAAGAATTTGTGAAACAGTTCACAAATGCAAAACACAAATAAAACCTTCAGGAATTTTGTAATGTTTTTGGATGTTGTAGATACTCTGTCAGTTGTATGCCTTCTATATTTCTCAAAAGTAATTACTGCCAATAGTAACAACTTTCTACAACTTACTGCAATTTCCTGGTGTTTGCATATGTGTCTGTGCATTGCAGGAAGAGCATAAAACATTCTGGACTCTCTCCTTAATGCAATGCCGCAATTCTTCATAGCTGCCACCTCTGTTTTACCAATGTGTGTTTATATTTAACACTTAGAAAATAAGTAGCTTGAGCTCTCTGGGATAGTTGCCCCAGAGAAACATTCTTCCTATTATTGCAACAGTTCCTGTAAAAATATATTAATATTAAACAAGCAACTTATTAACACTTGTCAAATATTGTATTCCTTATAGCCAGTACTCTTAGAACTGAGAATGAAACCCTACAGCATCAGCAGCAATTTTGCTTTCTTGCTGCTGCTTGACTTTTGCTTTGTCAGGTCTTTCCTAAAACCCCGAGGAATGATCTTACTTTGGGTGTTTCTTGGTTGCACAGTCCCACTTCCCTCCCTGAAACACTACAGACATTTAGGCTGCCTGGCCTTTTACTCAGAAAAGAAAGTGAGGTTGCCAGATAATCATTCAGAGGGTAACACTTGTAATCCTTTGGGAGGTCAAGTGAGGTGAGAAGAAAGAAGGAGATGCATACTACTAATGCTCTGACAGCTCTGTCAATACAAATTCATTAGTATGTATAGAACTATTTTAGTTTTCAAAAGCAGAATAGTACCTCACTTGTATTCATGAATTCAAGTCTATCTGGAGTTCACTGCAGGAAAAGCAGATGGATCTGGTGCAAACTGTGTGTGAAATGCAGAACTTTTGGAAGTCCAAAATGCTTTCCACAGACAGTCTTTTAGATCTTGTCAGTATTAATTCTGGTTTACTTTTTAGTGGCATTTGACCAAACTGATTCTCAGGCACAACCAACAGTGTGTTGAATGAACAGAAGAATGGGGCAGGGACCAGATCCTTAGTGCTACACTCAAAATTTTGCTGTAATTAGAAGAAAACACAAAATATGGAACTAAGAACTTGTTGTTAGTCCAATGAATTTTCATTTTTCAAAATATTGGATAAATTTGGGGAAAAAAAGAAAACAAAACCCAACACCCTCATTAATAATGCATTTATATATACATATATGCAATGCATACTTGTTATACAGAAAATGCTTTAGCACACAAAAGGTTCTGAGAACATAATTATGTATTTTTTTGTCTTAGAATATCCCCAGTACAATAACTGAAGGCGCAGCCTTCACAATCCCAGTGATACAGAGCTACACTTGCAGGTGTGCAATCCGTTGCCATAGGTGATTGTATTGTATGCAATACAATTTTCTATAGGAAATTTTGTATGCCTTGGTAATTCGCCTTTTCTTCTTAGAACACTCAAAACTCTAAATTCCTCCAAACATAGAAATCTTCATCCAAGACAGATATATACACAGACATTTTTTGGGCAACATCAATATTCACAGATTAGGAAGAACTAATCTGTCTTCACATAGGTTTATTTCTCACTTAGAGATAAATCCTTTAGGTTGGATCCTTTTTCTGTTATTAGAAAGGTTTATATCATGCTCGTTTTTAAAATCAGCCATGGCATTAAAAGAAAAGTGGTATGCCTTTCACTTTTTCTATATGTATGCAGCTGAACAAAATTATGCAGTGAAGAAAACTAAGCGATACGCAGCTTCCAGTATGAGTACTTTTGGAAGGGATTGCTTAAACTGTTTTATCTGTGGGAAATAAAACAAATATAATTAATAGTTACCTTAGTTACCCAGGCACCCAGCACCTCCTTCAGTATGAGTTTCTGAGTATATACAGGATTATTAACTGCATTTCTGTTTCCTGAATATTTTATGTTGAAGTACATGCTAATAAAACAATTACTTCATTACTACTTAGTACGAAAATTTACTTTGTATTATTAGATATTTTTTTTTAGATAACAGGGTTTTTTTTAAACAAACAGCTAAAATTTATATTTTAATTCAAATAGCAACCTTCACTGGTAATATATTAGTTGCAATCATGTATTGTATGTGTAAATTTTGTTTTTTCAAGTCAATGCAGTCCCAGTTCCATTAGAATAGTTTAAGTGCTGATGGCTCTCTGTCAGTTTTCCTCAGTTTCAAACACCCTGCCTTTCAGATGTCTCTGAGCCTTCTGTTTCTCTCTCAAAATTCTCTCTCTGGATGTTGTATTCCATTACACAATCCTACTCAAAACACGGTTCCTATTGGTGCCCAATCTCATTTTAGCTTAAGCAGCCACTCGGTGCAGATTTCCTCATGCTTGTACCATCAGCCCCTGCAGCAGGACATCATCACACATCAGCATTCACCCTGCTCACAGCAGTTCTGATTTCTCCTGCTTGAATATGCAGTTTCTTTGTTTCTTTCTACATTATGTTATCTTCTCAGGCCACATCCTGGCTCTTCATTTTCCGCTTGTCCTGTAGTTCCACCAGGAAGGCGAGCCATCCCCAAGTGGGGAGGTTCACCTCGGTGTCTGCAAAGGTGGGGCATTAGCAATTAGCTGCCTTTTTCTTTATGTCAGTCTTCAGTTAGTGATCTGCTAGTTCCAGGGTCACTTCCCGACTTTTCTTGTGTTGTTTCCATGTGTGTTTGTTCTAGGTCTGACTATTTCTTTACTGCACTATTTCCTACCATTTTATATGTGCATGGACTACTTTTGTGCCTTTTTTCACTTTGTCATCCCCCTTTTGTCACTTTTACCAGAGAAGAATATATGAGAGTGAATGCTGACAAAAAAAGAGCGGGTTTTATAGCATCTGAGTCATGCACTCTGATGGACTTTTTGTTTGTTTTTCTTGCTTGCTATTATTTACTGTCCACTAGATCACTTCTTCCCTCATATGGGTTACCAGCTCATAGACCCTGAAACTAAACACATTTCTGTGTCCAGGACATCCACTACAGTTTTAAAATACACCCTGGTCATAATTCAAGGCTTTCCTGTCGCTTGCCACAAAAACTTTGAACAGAGACTGACAGCTTTTTCTGGTCCTAATATAATCTCTGCTTTCTTTTGGCTTGTGATCCATCCCCCCATTTGAAAGATGATACAATCTTTCAAATTCTGTGCCTCTTTTTCAAGCTCGTACAGTGTTACACATAAACTCAGGGCAGACAGCTGCTACCGCAGGAACAGCTGGTTTGCAGCAATCTGTATCTCCAAGCTTATCCCTGGTGAATGAGCCATTCCCTCAGCCCAGCCATTTCTTCTGCAAAAGGAGAGGAAGACAGGTATTTCTAGGAGCAGAGTAGATATGTGTAGTAAGAGGTTGGATTTGTTTTTCTCCTTCCTTGATTCCTATATCAGTATACCTTATTTTGTCCTTTACAAGTAAAGCCATAATAAAAACAGTCTGTACTCAGCTGGGTCATGAGAAAGGGACAGGGACAGAGATCTCTGGTCACACAGGACTATGACCAGAGGTTTTTAAAGCAAGTATAAGCAGACTTGGTACTTCCATTCAGTATCCACCTGTCATCAGCTTGCTCTGACTGCCATCTGGTTTCTCCTCTTTCTCTCAGATTTTCAACAAAGTTTCCCTGTCCCTAACAAAACCTGCCACTTACCACGGCAAGGTTTGGCTGGAGTGAGTCACAGCCAGATCATAAATCAATGTAACTACTGTTTCTCTGTTTTCTTTGGATTGTTAGTGATCCTGAATAACCTGTTTTGCCCAATATTTTTTGATTTTATAGTAAATGAGATAATGGCCAGAAAACAGGACTGCACACCTGCTGCATTCATTTCCAGTCTTCTATGATGACTGTAGACTTCCTCCTACTAAAGTTTTTTCAGAGAGTTGGCTGTTCAGCAACCCAACAAGAAAGATTCATAGACAGGTTTGACCATGTTGTCCACTGGTTTGTTACACTGAAAATCTTCTTTGCTGCACCATATACACACTGATAAAAATTTACTGTTAGCCCAGTAAATATTCTAACAGTATAATTTTTATGATTAATGCAGAAAAGCCTCACTTCTCTGATGTTCTGGTCACCTTTCCAGTGTGCCTCTAAGTCCTGAGCTTGGCAGTTTTCCTGATGCAGACAAGAGGTAGGACTTGCTTTATAAGTCATCAGCCCCGAGGCCTTCACAAGAAAAACAGTGATGTTTACCTTGGGGGATTCTAATTCCTCAGCTTTGGGTAAGTTTTTAAGTTTGGGTAAGCTTTTATTTTTAAACTTTACAACATCTTCTTCCCTCCTACCTATTCCCAGCCAGTTTGAATATTGCACAGTATATTTACTCCTTGGCTCTCAGATTTCTACCATCCTCTGCAATTTTATTCCTCTATCACTCAGCCATTTACTTTACTAAAATCAGTAGTTTAAGCAATATAAAACTGTAATTCCATAGTGGAGAATCCAGGAGACAGGTTAGAGACAGGCTGATTTTTCAAAATCACAGTAGTTTTGCTGAAGTGCACAGTCAGCAGAGCTGTATAAAACTGGAGGTCACTGCATTGTTAAGTTCACATATGTCATTGAGCTTCTCAAGAAAAGCATCTATAAATGGAAGACATCATGAATGCTTATACTGTTCAAAGGCCTGTTTTACAGCCTGTCAGCAATTCAGTAGTTTGTTAATACAGAATATAAAAACCTTAAGCCAAACATCCTCCAATTTATTTTGTTTTTGTAGTATTTACCAAATTTATGTTTAAATCCCAACAGATCTTATGAAAAACCTTATATCTGTGGCTTTTGGGGCCATGAGCAAATCAGCTCATTGTGCACTAGTTTTACATTAGCCAACTGTTGATAAGTACACTGTAGAAATACTTAAGCATTCAAAATGCTATGTCTTGGTAAAAATTACAAATATTTTTATGTCTTCTTTTAAGGCACCTATTTTTTCTCAAAGAATTTGAAATATGAATAATTATGGTGGGATAAATGAGAACACATGGAGCTGTAGTTATCTGGAGTCTCTGGAACCCACCTGCCATTTACTTTGTGTTATCACAGAAACTCATAACACAGTGTTCCAGGCAAAATTATCATTACAGGTTTCTATTATTATAGGTTGTTATATATCTTATTACAGATATATCATAATATATTGTTATATATTATATACAATATAATATGAGTTTATATACATTATTATATTTATATTCTGTTATAGATATATATTTTTGCTTTAATACCAGCCTTCTATAAATTAAACTTTTTTTTTTAATCAGTGATACTGTTCACTGCCTTTGGTCAGTCAGGTTTATAGTAGTGAAGTAGTAGCCATAATAGTACTCTCTAGTAAGAATAGTACCATATATAGTAGGAATACTTTCAAAAGTCTTCCATGTTTTACCCTTAATAAAGCTTAGTCTCATAAACCACACTGATCCTCTCCTGACACTTTTCTGGTTGTCATTATCTGGTTCTTTTATTGTCTATGGTTAAGGAATTAACTTGTGCAAATAAAGAGGTTTCTTCATTCATAATTGTCTACACTGTTAGAATTATTTGTTCTATTTCCTCCTTTGCTGTTTCAGCTGCACACAGTTAAAATACCAAATTACTCCTAAAATTTATGAATTATCTGTTGCTTCTTGACCCCCTTCAGCTGTCTCCTCAGCAGCTCCTGTGTTGTCATCTGCTCCAACACATGCACTTACAAGGAGCACTTACAAAGGGAGCTGAGTCATTCTCTAAATCTGGACCATCGTGCTCTGAACATAAAACCTTCCTCTGCAGTTCTTAAGGGCAAGTATTAACTGTGTCATCTTGCATAGGATGTTTTAGCTTCTCTTACTTTAAATTACTTGAGTCTCTAAGTGAAAAACACATAATTTAGCTGTATCCACCAAAATTTTCTTTGTGTCATTTATGTTACACAGTGCCAAATATTTATCTTCTTACATCTGTGTTCTATTTCCTTTTCTTTTAATTGTCATTTCAAAAGAGTCTCACATCTTCACTGGATTGATTTTTGTACATACATGTAATTTCTGTGAACTGTGACTACTTTGCTGTCATTAAGGAACCAATGAGTCTCAAGGAACATAACCTCCTGTACAATCAAATTGTTATTCCAGTCATAGCATTAAAAGACACTCACTGTCGTTATCAATCTGACTTAAATCATCTGAAATACCTAATATTTAAAAGGGCTGATGAATGAGGACATGTATTAGACACCCTAAAAGTGAGTAAAAAGCAAGATCAACTGTTTATGTCTTATTATTTTCTTAGCACTATAAAATATCATACACATTCTTTGGATTTTTGAATGGATGGACTTGTTTCCAGTCTTGCCTCTGTGCTTGTCAAAAAGATGTACTCTGGTAGGATGAAGTCATTCTAGCACTACTACTAGTGATTAATACTAGGATTTTTTTCAGGTTTATGTTCAAGTTGCTGGGTTACTTGCAGCTCTGAATAAGATTTACATGAAGTCTTGTGAAGAGCTCTGTATCTGAGTTGTATTATATTGCTCAAAATAAAGCTTTTCAGCTGACTTCTTCAGTAGAATTCTTTTAGTGTTTTAGGAATTTTTATGCTAGCTCTCTTTTTATAAATACTGCCTTTATTAAATTTGTAATATCCCAAAGTAATACTTTTTGCTTTAGGTCTGTTTTCTTGATTTATGTGCTAGCATGTTTATCTTCTCCCTCTCTCTTGTCTAGTTCTTCTTGGATTTAATGTTGATTTATTTTCCCTTTGTTTTTACAGTAAGTCATATGACATTGACATCCCTAAGAAATTCAAAGTTACGTGGAAGAAAATTGAACAGCATATCGATGGATGAGATAGGCATGATGGTTTCTCCATGATGTCATTGCATGTTGATGAAGGAACAGCACTGTGAAATATGAGATGCAAGTGTCATCAAAATATTACCCTGGTTTTGCAAGGAGTTGCGCAAGGAGCCATTCCTTTTCTGCAGAAGGAAGGCTTGGTTATTCATAAGTGTAAAAAAAAAGAACCAACTGCCAGCAACAGAAAAATAGATGCCATGTTTCCTGGTTTTTTAATTTCCTTTCTATTCCATGAAGTATAGATATTCCTAATAATGAAAAATAAAAAAAAAAAAGCAGACTATCACCTCTTGTCCCTGTTTTTCTTAAATCTAAAAATGTTTTGCAAATTTAACTTAAAACAGTCAAATGTCTTGCCCTGTTTTTTCATTTTTAGAATAAACTGAAATATTTCAGCTTTTGGTGTCTGTCCTGCTTGTTCACATGATTTCATTTTTATATCAGGGTTCAATTTTTCATAAACATCAAGACCTTTTTCAATACTGAGGATCTGAGGTGGGTTCTGTTGTGTTTCTGTACTAAATTAAATTAATTTTACAACCTATTCAATACTCAGAACCATGAAAACAATTCTTTCTCTGAGTTTAAATCAGTTACATTACGCCTTTAAGGTTAATATATTTTAAACAGTGCTTTGCATATTAACTGAAAGAGGTTTGATTAGTTTTATTCTTTTAATTCTTTTAAAAAATGTCTTTTGCATTGTGTATTATCTCTGTTAGCAAAAAATATAAAATCTCTGATAACTTTCCGCTGTTTTAGAGAAGATTCAACAAAGCCTTTAATTTCTTTTGTCTTATATTGTAAACCAGGATAGTTAAGGGAAAAAAAAATCTTTCAAGAATGTGATATCTGCTTGTGAATATAATACTGTCATTCATCATTAGAGATAACACACAGGGGTTATAGCTGTGTGAGCTATTCAAAAATCAAAAGCAGCACACTCAGAGTTTAGCCATGCTTAGAGGAGCAGTACATAAAAGTTACCCCTCAAGAACATATCATTTTGAAGGGTAACTAAATATAATTATTTCATGTGGTACCACATAATTGAGATGACTTGGAATTCCCCCTCTTGTAGCACTTCTGATCTGTCTCTTAAGTTTGACAGGGTAAGGTTAAATCTGCCTCTCCTATCACGGGCTTGGAAGTACTTCTGGTGCTAAGAATAGCACATTAAAGGTGGATGGAATGTCTCCTTTTTCATGTACATATTAATTACCATAGCACTTATTGAAACTGTGTCTTTGCTGGCAGAATGACATACCTTGCTGCTGTATCAACAAAAACTGGGTTTCTTCATGGTTAAAACGAGGTCTAATGAAGTAAAAACATGGGAAATGAAGGAAGATTTTACTTTTAAATATACATTCCTGTTCTAAACAAGTCAGCACCTATTTCTTTTGGGAGAGAATTTGAATTGAACATAGGAACCATGATAATCTGGGACTAGAATTCATAGCTGGAAAATTGAGTGCCTCCGTCTTGTTTCAACTGAACTTGCATGATATTCCCTTTACCTGTGGATACTTAGCACACTGCCACTGCTAGATATTTTGACATAGCTATTCAAATGTCATTTTGAGTGATTTTCCTGTAAGGCTATGATTATCAAAACCCAAAAGGAACATTAAATTACTGAGCATGTTCTTCTACCAGTTTGACGAAATATTCCCAGAAATTTTTCTTAGCATTCACTGAGTGGCAGACAGCAATGCCTTTATATCCAGTAGCACTGTCTCCCGTGGGATCAGAGCAGTTGCTGGACCTTGCCTCTGCCTAATCTCTTCATTGCAGTCTTTCTGAGTGACAGGGCTCTGCCCACATCTTACTGTAGCAGAACTCCTCCGAGACACCCTCCTTTGAACCTGAGGAGCCTACGGCATCCCATATTCTTTATTTCTGAATATAAATCTCCTTCTAAATGTATCCCTTTAATGTCTGGCTTTCAGTACATCTGATTCTTCCTACTTTGAGTGTCCTACAGCTAGCAGGTTTTGATGAGCCCCAAAGAGGCACCTCTCTGTTCTAGCCTTATTAACACAGGATCATTTGCCTCTGTGTGACAGTTCTCTCTGGGTACCACACCACTGTGCAGGGACTTGCGATCTCTCCAAGAACTGTTTTACAGAAGGAAGCAAAATGTTTCTCCTTCTGTAGCTTGGTGGAAAGTTTATCCTCTCCAATACATGCAGGAAGCCATCCTGCCAACAGTATGCCAAGCAGTACTGCCAAGAGCCACGGGTGCCCCGCTCGGCAACCACTGCGTTTTTCACTGCTGCTCTGGAGATGCAGCCACCTGGCTGGGTTTGCCCTGAGTTTGGATTGCAAAACTTAAAATTGGAAAGCAAGGCTGTAAACTGGAGAAAGGCAAAGTAAGTCATTCCCCTGTTAACAATTCCACCACTTCTTTTTTCATAACTCTTGTTATGTGTTCTTGGAAGTACTGCCAATCGCAGTCTGAGTTCCTGCTTCCTTGATAAATTTCAAACAAATTCACCGTGAAAATACTAAGTAGCTGAAGTGAGATATGTATAACATTCCTGAAGCAGTTATTCCCCTGAGTTCTAGTCAAGTCAGAGGTACTTACCCTGCTGGTTAGCTTTCACTAAACATAAGGAAGGATCAAATTATGACTCTTTTATTAGTTGTTACAGAAGCCTCAGCCTAGGTTTATTTTAACTACTTCATTAACTAAACATGATTGTTTGTAACAGGATGATTCTTAGTAGCATTACAGATGGCAAAAAGAAATTTTTTTCAGGACCTGGTTCTTTAGCCACCCCAGGCAGCCATCTTATGTTCCTCTCTTCTCAAAGAAACATCTGTGGGAGAAAGGGGGCAGTCTGAGGCCTCAGAAGAGTTCTCAAAGCCCAGCTCACAGATAAGACAGTTTACTGTAATTCATTTCCTAATCTACTTCATACTGCTCCACAGCATTATTCATTCTTCTCCCCTTAGGACTTCATTTTTTTTTTTTAGCTTGCCATACCAAAAGGCAAGTTACAGACCTTATTTAATCCTGAAGAGCAGGGATGTTAATTGGGTTGAAAATGGTAATGATGCATCTAATTCTGTCTTATCTACGCTGCTCATCCTGCTCTCAGGACACCTGAGTGCACCTGCATCCCAGAACAGAGGCTTGAACATGTATTTTTCTGTGTTACACCGGGTTTCTCCCTTGACCCATTATCAATGGCACATTACCCAGTGACTCAAATATGAATCCCACAATATTTCCTCTCATTCTATTTCTGAATAAGAGCAGGTACATGCTTGAAACATTTTTGATGTATATTGCTTCAGTTAAAGCCTAATTAGCTTCATGAAAAGGAAGCAGGTTAACCAGCTCCACCTTAGCTGAAACCTTTACATTTCAGACTTTTATTTGGTTCTTCAGCTATTTCAGTTACCAGTCAAGAAGGAATTTAAGTCCGCAGCATAATAGTACTTGCAATTACTAATAAATAGCATTTCACAGCACTAACCAGTTTGTCCTTACTACATCCATTTCAGGCAGGCAAATAAATGTTATTATCCTCATTTTGCAAACACATTGATTAAGTGACTTACCTAAAGGCCACTCATCAATTTCAATGTCAGTGCCAAGATCAGCACAGAGAAACTCCTGCATTGCAGACACAGAAAAAAGTGATTGGTATTATCAAGCCCACCCCTTTCAGAAACAATCATTTTTCAGCTGTGTAGTCAAAAACATTTACCCTCCTCACATCCTCCATATGTCTTGTCCACCCCAAGCTGCTCCCTGATGATGGCTCAAAAATGGTTCCTAAATTTGTCTTTAACATGGGAAGCTTTTCTGTCTGCCTCCTGCTTTTAACACAAGGGTTGGAAAGCACTGCCTGGAGAACCTGTGAAACTCCCACAGTGGTGGCTGAGCCTATGGAGGCAGGCAGCCAAGGAGGGGGACAAGGGGCTCG